TTTTCCTCCCTACACCGGTTCAGTTACTGCCAAGGTGCCTGATACGGGGAAATATGATTTAATAGATACAGAGAGATATTAAGCTATTCAGAAATTAGAAATAGATGCAGAGAGATATTAAGACATTTAAAGCAAACACTTCCTAAATAATTATTTGGGAAAGATCAAAATATAATAAGGCTCATTACTGATGGAACTCAAACTTTTTTTTGAGGGCCTCTTTAGTGAAGCATAAGAACTTAAGAAACTGAGTATCTCAACCTTTCTTGTCACTGCAGAAAAGTCAAGCAACAATAAAGAAAATTGTATTTTTCTTATAAAACACTGGAACAAGGTATTTAAGTTAAACAAAAAAAGTCATGTGAAATAAATTATAATTCATATCACAAAATACCTGGTATACTATTATAAACAAATGGTAAAAGATCATGAGGAAGACAGGACCTCAAGACCATGTAAGTCTACAGACCACACGTTTTAAAAACACTGCTCTAGAAAAGCGCTAGTGTGTACCACATGGGTAAAAAGAGCCATCAGTGAGCACTGGATTGAGAAGCAGCAATTGTGATCTCTCAGAAGATTACTTTTAATCTAATACAAATATACATTATAAAGTGGTATTCACAGTGGTACTTAAAGTGTTCCGTAAACACGTCCTTTCAGGTATAAGACAAGTATTAGGGAGAATAACAAAGCCAAAGCTATTAATTTCTTTACTCCATAGAAATGGCCATACTGACCTCAGAATGAATTTGATGCCTGAAAGCTGGAAAGAAAAATAGCTTTTAGGAATCTTAAAAAGGTTAACAAACTGGAAAAATATTTCCAACTGGACGGTAAAATTCTTTCCAGCACTATCTAATCAGCTTTACAGTAATGCTATTTTCTCCCATTTCAATAACAAGTTCCTATTTATTTTGAATACCCATGGAAAAAAGGAACCCAAAAAACAAACTGTGCCCAGAAAGTATGTGAGACAGTGCCAACTTTCACAAATCTTGGAAAGACATGCACTCATTTTTCATAGGGGTCAGACTCAAAATGTAATACCTATTTTAAACCCTTGTGGGAAAAAAGATTTCTATTTCACAAAACATTAAGATTACAAGTGGTCTTCCCAGAAGATTCATAGGACAACCTACTTAAACGTGGTGGGGGATGGAGGGGACAACTGCTAAAGAGTGCATGTTTTCTTTTTGAGGTGATGAAAATGTTCTAAAATTGACTGTGGTTATGTTTGCACCTATCTGTGAATATACAAAAAAAAACAAACAAAACCATTTAAATGGATAAATTATAGGGTATATGATTTTTTAAAAAAAAAATGATACTCTCATTTCTTGTATGCTGTTTTTTGTCTTGCAGAGTAGTTTATAGTGAGTTTAGCCTGCAAAAAGTTCTTCAATGTATCATATACAATCCTTTTGCTTATGATTACTGCTTCTAATATTGTGCTGAAATAGTTTTCTTGCTCCATTATTAATTGATACTATCTTGTCATATTTTATATATTCTTGTAGATGATCTTATATCTTTTCTGGATAATGGAATACAGGTTACTTCATTGTTCCCTATTTTCCCTCCATGGTCCTTCTAACTTCATCACTCTCCTCACGCTGCCTATGTCACTACCCTTTAGTCGCAAAATATCATTTCCTACCTCACACAAAAAATGGAAACCTGGTGGGAAAGCCCTCGAATTCCTGCTCACAACCCACCCCATTCCCCAAACTTATCTGTGACTATACCATCCATAGCTCCTTGCCCAGGCTAAATTCTCTACCTTTAGTTTGAATTCGATCCTTTTCTGCCTTCTTGGATCCTTGTTTAATCATTTCTCTTCTCTCCTCCCTTTACTTATTTCTCTCAGCACAAGTTTAACCCTTCTTGAGAGTCTATCCCACAAACCTGTTTCCCCTTCTTCTATTATTCTTTTTGCAATGAAACTTCTTGAAAGTGTAGTCCACACACAGCGTTTCCTGTTCTCCAGCCCCGCTGCCAGCTATGAGACTCAAACATTCACCATTTTTCATCCAGGCTACTGCGGACCGACTTCCCACTGATCCATCATCTACATTTAGGATATTTAATTTGGTATACACAGATGGGTCCACAAATCTCCTGAAACTTTATGTATGTGATCACTTTTTTGGGGGAATAGTTTTCATAAGATTTAAAGAGTGCCATGACCCCAAAATGTTGCTATTTTTCTCATGGAAGACTGCCTTTTTCATAGGAAAATATGATCATGCCACTGGCTTGTTTCAAGTCTTTCCGTATTTCCCCATCATCTTGAAGATAAAATCCAAACTCCGCCAAGGCATACCAGCCCCCTTTGTGATGTGGCTCTCACCTCTTTAGCATGATCTCTTACCACTACCTCCTCCCTATCCCTATCTTGGTCTCCTCCCCTACACAACTAGTTATGACACCCAGAAATCGTTATGCCCATTTGCTTCAGGGCCTTTTCCCACGCCTCTTCCCTACCTGAAATCATGCAGTTACGCGGTGGGCCTCTCTACACCGGTCCTCTAAGACTCAGAGATCACAACAGGGAATCACTTCCTGTTCTTTCCACTCAGGACGAAGTGTTCTTTTTATTTGCACCATGGCATTCTGTGTATACCACTACAGTAACTTTTATCACACACTATTATTAACTTACTTATCTTTCTTCCCCATTAGATTATAAATTTTTGAAGAGTAAGGCTAATATTTTCATCTCCATACTCCCGGTGTCTGGCCCTCACACGTTTCCTGAATAAATCACATCACATTCTCATCACAACCCGCTGCAAACCATTCTAAATTCAGGACCTTGAGCTGCGCTGTGTTCACTCCTGTGGCCAGTGGAGAAGGATTCTGGTCCCCGAAAAACATTTCATTTAAACACTGGCTTTCAAGGCTGAAAACTTGGTGCCTGCTCTGCCGACACGATTCCTCTTTCCCCGACACCCCACCGGCTGCAGGACAGTTTCGAAACTCCAGCCCAGACCTAGCTGGGCAGGGAGCGCAAAGCCACTGCAGCTTTTCCTAAACACCCCGCGGGAGGGGTCAGGAGTAGACTGTCAACCAGGCTGCCCTTTCTGAGCGGCTGGGACGTCCCAGGCCGGGGCCTCCGGACTGACGTCAGCTCCAGGCCGAGCCCA